TTTGAAAGGTCAGCAAATTTCAAGAAAATTACTCTGCCCTAAAGAACTGCCACAAACAAGCAGAGATAGGACATAATGTGGTTTCTTCATATCTGGAAACAAAGTTCTTTGTTGGAGAAACTGCACTGGTATCCCTTAATAACTGACTGATCCAATGCAAAGTTTTACCACTCTTTTTAAAAAAAAAAAAAAAAAACAATGTGTCTCAAAATTTTGCTCTTTTCAGAGAGGTACTAGTATCAAAAATACCTCTTAGGTAGGAAGAGCACATGGGACAATGGTGACAGTGCACAGGTGAACTGGTGGTGGGAATTTCACGGAGAAATCATAACGCTGTACAAAAACGAAAGATGGTGTAAATAATATTTTTAATTAAAAAAAACTTGGCAATTAAATGAAAAATTAATGATGCAACAAAAAATTATTTGCTTTATTAAGCAAAAACAGTGCACACATACACATTAATAAGTCATATACAGAAAAACAAACCGAAGACTTAGCAGATGAGTTCTTGAAAGAACATTACTGTTGAAAGGTGGGTTACGAAAGAGTTTTAAAAAAATAACAAGCCATATTTTACTGAGCGCTTTGTAAATAAAAAATGACTACAAAAGCTATCTTTCTTAAATAGTTTTATTCATGTGAACTATGTAAGCTTGTGCAAGGCTCCAGAAAAAAAAATGTTTTGGCTTTAGGTGACAAAAAAATTTCAAAGAAAAACAGGATCTTTAGAAAAATCATGTGGAAAAAGTATACAAAAAATGTATGTTCTGCAATTAGGGTTTATGAATGAGGAAAGATACCAGCAAATCTCAAACATTAGTGAAAACCATTTTGAAGACCTTAAAAACAAACTGATCAATACTTTCTTTACTTTTCAACACAAATGTTCACCTAGGTGAAGGGCCCTTTCTCTGTATTCTCATCTGAGAACAAGTTTTCCACATGGATATAGTTAAAAAAAAAAAAAAAAACTGAAAATAAAAGATTAAGTAGAAATTTTTAAAAAGGAAAACTTATGTTAACTATTGTAGTGATCATTTCACTATATACAAGTACTCATTCTATTATACATCTGAAACTAACATGACTATCATATGTCAATTACATCAAAAAATTTTTTTTAATATTATTTAGTCACATAACAGCTAGATTCAGGCCACAAGTGATGGGGGACAGGGGGGAGGTGAGGAGAGAGAGGGGAAGAGGATTCACCAAAGAAAGAGTGGGAGAAGAACAGGTAGAGCTACTGAAATACACTGCTGA